AGCGTCGCATCCTTGTCGCAGGCTAAAGGCATCGGCCTGGTAAACGATCATGTGATAGCGAACGACACGAGACCTAGAGTTCGTTCGTTTGGTGAAAAAGAATCTGATATCTTGAACAGAACTGGCGATTCGATTATCCTGATGGTGCATGGGATATCGGAAGCCGGTCCTGAAGTCAAACGGGATTTAGTGCAAGTATTGCAAAACCGTCTCGACGACGCGGTGTTGGAAGTATTATCTGTGATGCTAGCGCGTAATCCAATGTGCAAGCTGACACCGGCGGACGTGCACTTTATACAAAAACCATACAAGTCTCCCGAGAGTACAGTTCAACTATCGGTGCAGTCACACTGCTCACGATACATGGATGCTTTGGGATATTACTTGAGGCAAAATATACTGCAATTTTTGTATATGCCGAAGTACACGGATCTCGGAGCTCACTATCATTTTCAGGATTACACCCCGTTAGATGGCACCAGAAAGAGGGTTTCCGAATCCGATATTTTCTTGTATAATCAAAGCCCCTCGAGTGGTAACAAAGGTATAGCGTGTATCGCGTTAGCCATTACCGATGGCAAAGGAGAATCCTCGGCATATCCGAATAATTCAAATGATCAGTCGAGCTTTCCTAAGTTGTTAAAGGTCGAGAATTTCGAGAACATCGTATCGACCAACGTTTACGATCATAAAAGTGATTCTAAGCCGAACGCACAAATGTTCATCGAATTTCGAATCTGGAAGCAGGGCAGAGTCAACTTGGAATCCTTAATTCTGAAATTGTCGTCCGCTGTGAAACATGGTACTTGGGACCTAGTCACGGAATATAATCTTCTGGCGACTCCTCTAACGGAATCAATAGCTCCTTCAGCAGTTGGAGAGACTACAACGGAAAACAAAGAAGTCCAAACGCCCGTAAAGACGTTACAGTCACAAGTTTCCGACAATTTAACGATTAATCAGTACGAGCTCGGCGAGAGAGGAAAATTGAATGAGATCTATCATATCACGCTAGCACGCTGGTTTCAGTTTGCACTAGAAATGGGTGTTCCTGCCGTGAAAAAGCATGAAGTGACCATTCATCACAAGCATGCGATTCCCGTGATCGTGAGAGAACTGCAAAATCTCATACGTAGTCAAGATCCAGACACGTCTAGTAAAGCTTTTGTTTTGCAAGATCGACAGCCATTCCTAAATCAGTTTGTTGTTTCGCATAAAGCTGGATCTGCGCCCAAGTGGTCTGATAGCATCCGGAACAGTTTCGATCAGTCCTTAGGGGAAAATACGGATCAAGAAAGCGCAAACTCGCCCGTGTATGTGCCGCATGAGTTTAACAAAGACGAGCAAACTACTTACATCAAGTGCATTTTAATCGCAAGAAATTTTCATCAGTGGAAAGCATCTTTGAGTAAAGAAATAGATCCGGAACTGCTTGCTCCTAAGGGTCAGTTGAGTCCCACAATCCCTGATTAAAATCTTACACATTGTTAATTTTATTACGTCTTATATGTTGCAGATCAAAAACAATTGCAGAAATTTAATCCCCTGATATCAGAATCGAATTTTGTGCCCAGGCAAAGGATATTGTTAGCTGAAATAACAAGTGACAACGTTAGTATTTATTATGTAACATGTAGTTATGAAACGTTCACGAGAGTACAAACTTTTATATTATACATTTCCAGATAATCATTTATATGTACAACTGGTCCAAGGAAAAATCAGAAAAATTGATCAAGCAAACGACAAATTTGGGTACATGGCTGTCTTCTAGATCAAGTCTATTTACCAGCATAATTATGCAAAAGTTGGGTATATTTCATCACAAACTCACCCGAGAACCTCAGCAGAGAGAGCACAGTTCTCAGTATTACCAGATCAACGATATGGAAAGTCTAGCGAAATTTCCAAGTCAGTCAAACACCGATAAAGACTGGACTCGATCGAGCAACCGAGCGCAGTCGATGAAGAACAACACTTTTCCGTGGCTCCAAGTGGTCGGGCAGGCAATGCGCGATGCGAAACCGAACGCTCCGCATCCTCACAACACAACGGACGCGATCGTAAAGGCTGCCTACGACTTGCAGGACTTACGGCATCGGGATAAAAGGAATAAAGGTAATCCATCGAGTCTGCGTGCACCGCAATACGATAACTATAACGTGAATGTATCGTTGCAGAGGATCTGGAGAAATTGTACGCAATGTGGCAGAGCCGCACGTCGAACATACCGATATCGCTGAATGCTTTGAACACATTCAAGCAACACACTCGTTTGATACACTTCTGCCATACACCTCTCCTGTTTTTACCGGCCTGGCGTTTGCAGTCCGCCGCTACGAGGGATCATTCCTTGACACCGCCGCAGTCATCTCACTTTGGAGTGGACGGCAACGCGCACGAACAATCGTCTCAAGCAACGCAGTCGAAACAGGAAGCGACGAACGCGATTATGATAAAGTGGCATCAAGAGCTCTGCAAGTCGATGTTGTCCGAATATCAACAGTATCTGCAGATCCTGGGCTTCAATCCAATCCAAGTGGAGTCGCCCCATAAAACGTTCGTTCGAATTCAGCATTGTTAGATTTTGATTTGACAAACATGCGAATTTCTGCATTGCGTTTCTTTTATAGGGACGAGGAGCACGCACAGCAGCAGTCTTATTATCTCAGGAAGTCCATGCTGGGCGGTATTTTGTTGTTCGAAGTTAACTTGTCGCAGCCGTTCTTCATCGTAAAGTTGCATATCATTGAGTGCAACCGCTTGCAGACGAAAATCAGCAGCGGTATGATGAACCAAGTAAGATAAAATTGAAACTGTATCTGCGTGCGTACATATATCGGAGAACTTGTGCAAATGGATTCGTTACAGTTCGTATTAAGCTTCGTGGACGTTTGCGACAAGATTCAAATCAACATGCATCTACATTCGTTCACATACGATTTTCACTTGCGTTGTATTCACTCCTACATCGCTGGAACTGGATTGTGGTCCTTGCAACAAGGTTACCATCTCACGCACTTTCTGGACGACTTTATCAAGTATTACAGCAAGGCGCCGAATTACGCCCGGAATCTGATATACAGCGGTAAGCTGCTCGAAAAGCATCTCGGTGGTTCGGATCGCATTCGTTTATTTATTAATATGGCGTACATGGTTGTTTCAGACGTGATAACAATACGCGATATAGCGATACCTGCACGTACGTTGTACTCCTATTTGCTTTCACACGAGAAAGTGTACGGCATGCGTGTGTTCGTTATGTCCGGCGAGCTCCAAGAATCTCACGATAATGAATATGTTTTAATTAAACTGCAAAGTACTCCCTCGGTCAGTTATTGCGACGCCCACGATACCAAGTGTACGGATGATTTCGACGTAGCCCTGATCGTGTCGCGCATGGAACAGTTGCCGCAAATCGAGAGGACCGAAATCACCTTGAAATATTATCTGATGTTGACGAGCAAGAGGGAATTATACCCAAAGAGGGAAGTGGAGAACAACAAACTGGGCAAATTTAGGACCGTGTACAGCGTTGGGAAGCCCGCCACCAGCTCGTATACGGAGAGCCCGGTGGAATCCAGTTCTGTCTCGCCGACACCGCCGTTTGTGAGAGACAATTCCAGGACGGAGTTGTCGGGCGCCGATCAGCAGGAGAGCAGTCTCGAGTCCTCGGGTAATACGACTGTTGAAGATACCGACGTCAAGACAGCGAGCTACAACGTTCATAACAATTCAGCGCCGACGCCTCCACCAGTTCCAAACTCTCCCCTAACGCAAAATCCCAACATGCCAAGCGCAGTCTCGAACGTGACGTCGTCATCGTCGCCGCATTTGGTGCAAATCCGGCAGGAATCGGTGAATTATCTGGGTTACTACTCGTCGCACGAGCAGCTCATGCAACAGACGATTATGGTCCAGGCGAAAGCTGCGCATCAGCACATGACCAACATGGTGGAGCGCGGCGCGTTGCAGTGTCGAACGCACTTGCTCTGGGATAAATTATTGGAGAACAAGACTTCGATGACGTACTCCGAGTTCAAGGAGCTCTGCTCGTTGGCCCACATCGAACCCCTTACGAATCTGGACCCTAGGCTCGGTCCGCTTGTTAACCAGCCAGTTTCGTGGTACCAGGCACTGTCCAAAGTGTTGCAAAACAAATATCAAGAGCATCACAAGCAATTTATTACCTCCGACGGGAATATCACTCATCATCTCATACTGCATCCGACTCTCCTTCAAGCATTCATGATGCTGACCATCGATATGCACACGTCTAGAGGAGTGAGTAGAATAAAATGCGAGATTTAAGGTATAAAACACGATGAAAAATTAACATTTGCTTTAGGATTTATGCGCAGTTTATCGAAAGTCCACGGAGATTAACATGCCGATAAACATGGAAGACGTCTACGCCCTAGTCGAAGGTTTCGTCAACGCTTGTTGCTTTCACTTATGGATGGGCCTTTGCAGCCAGTGATAACATTCCGGACGTGCAATGCAATGGCATATTCCTTGTGACAATTTTGAGGTACTTACAAAAATAATTATGTGCAGTGTTACATAGCGAATTATCTCCTAACGCGCGAATCAGTGCTCTAATTGCTAACATGGATTATTACACTTATACGACTTTGTAAATATGAAATATATATTTTCATGTTACATACATTAATTCTCATGTAGTTAATCGAACAATAATTTATTCGGTAATACATAAAGTTAAGCTATCTTTTAAAGGGAGACTAAAAATTGTCATATTACGCAGCATTATCGATACTTCGTCTACTCAGGAAACTCGGAAGTTAGCAATTAAGGACTCTGTGCAATAACAAAAGAATGCAACTCTTTTTTTATATAAGAAATACAACATTTACTTTATTCTGCGATCCCTAATCAATAATTCCCTAACAATTTTGTAAGGAGTTCCAGAACTAATAACGGTGCCTGTGCGGTGTTCCATTAATATCATTTCGTTCGATGTGTTTTATAAAGTAACGTCTGTTCAACTGTAAACTTTATTTCGTTAGATCTCAAGAAAAAGAAATTACACTTGTTTAACATCACATTTCGAATGATTAATATTAAAATGATATTTAATGATCATTACTATTAATTAAGAATTAGTTATAATTATTAATACTAATAGTGTGTACAACCATACAGTGTTTTAGGGAAGGACAGCATTCGTATTGTGAAATCTTTTAATTAGGCTCAGTATCTTTCGATTAAATTCTCTCTCTCTTTCACTCACACTTATCACTTTCTCTCTTTTTCATTCGCACAAGCACTCGTCCATTTAGACTTTTTGCTGCTTTTTTTCTGGTAAAGAACCAGGCTACCGTTACCACCGCTGTATCTCTATTCAAACTATCGAACCGGTTAAAACATATCGCTGACTTCAAAGTGCAGTATATTACATTTTTTTTCATCCTATATTATTTCTTATGACAAACTAATGTATCTAACTATTACAATTATGTGTGAATCTTATGTTTAGCTTATCCCTATCATAAAACCGAACTAATCTCTCCTTATCATTCCTTGTTGGGAATTATCGTTAAGCTCAGCATCTTCTTCCAAGATCCTCCTCAACAAAATAAACCCTATAGCTTCGGGTATCATTGATAATTCTTACGTAATTACATCAGCATCCGTTATATGTATATACATATCCGTGAATCTATATGTATATATATATGTATATGTGTATATGTATATATATATATATCGAGTTAAACGAGCTTCGATTAGAATCTTGAATGAAGACCAAGCGTGTCACCAGAACGTCATCGATTGGACGCATGAACGCATGAACGCGTAATTATACAGGAGCGAGTTCTCGTAAAATTTACTCTGAACAGGCAGGACAATACATATATGTTAAACTGCTATACAATATACGACAGCGTTTCAACAAACTTATGCAAATCCAAATCCTTCGCTGCATTCGTGAATCGCTTTGAGTAGATTTGTACGTAGCTTATCATATGTCTCGTATACTGGCAGATCCAGTTGATTGAAACTGCAAAGGAATAAATGAGTTTTAACGTAATTTCACGTTATCTTATCCAATTTAATTTTAGCTTGTTTCCACATGTTTGAGAAAATGTAAAATTCTTATATAATTACCAAGTATGTGCAGATGGAAGTCTGTCCGTTGACCTGTCCTCTCTGTGAATTTGGAACTTTTGTACGCCGTTCATGCCTTCTAACGCGGCGAAACCTTGTAGCGGCACTTTGGACGTACCAGTAACGAATTGTAAAAACTTTGCACGATCTGCTTGATCAAAACCTCGTAATGCACGCCAAAACCATTGAATCTGTGTGTGTTTGGAAAAAAACACGACAAAACATAGAACAATACAATTCTTTCAAATATACAAAATAAAGTATAAAATGCCGAAATGTACCTGTAAAGATGTAGCAGTGTACTTGTGATACTCGGTATTTGCTTTAAGATCTTCGATATCTACATTAGGCAAGCCGCTGATTAATAGCTCAAGTTCTTGTTCGTTAAATATGGAGATCAGTCGTTTAGGTATAATATCATAAAAGCCTTCCAAGAATGCATTTAACCTGTAGAAGATTGAAAATATAAAAATTAGAAAGCAAGTATAAAGAAATAATTCAAACAAACAATATATTCTTCTACTTGATTTTGAATCTTTAGGCCACTTACTGTTTACGAATTGCTCCAGTCATCTTCATTTGACAAACGAGCCTAATATATTCAAGTTTGGTCTCTTCTGTAACAACTATATTACGTCCATTTGGTATTAAATCTCGCACATCGTTGACACCGAATTCGTTCACCTAGAAACAACGCATATATTTAATAACCGAAATATAAAGTTGAACATTACGCTGAAATAATTGTTCCTTACCTCTGTGGAGAACGTTAGCTCGTATCCCAAATCAGAAATATTATGTTCCGTAAGATAAACGAGTCCTTTGTAAAAACTGTAATCTTCGCTTTCCATATCTGTATGTTTCACGAGTATGCCAAGTATATGCTTATAGAAACTACGTGTGAAGTAACACTCTAACAATTTGTTGTCATAAATAGCCTTAGCTGTAAAAAAAATGACGTGTATCAGAATGTATATTAGAATCGTCGTTTACATCATCTGTTGAAATCTCTGCTGAAAATCGAATCAAATACTTACCAATTACTCGGCCCACAAATTTATAATAACATAAATGATTGGGATTGCAATGCGAAGATGAATTTATCATGTATGTTACTCGGTCGCCAGGGCTGACCGTAAAGAGGGCGTACATCGGGTTGAAGATCTCTCTCGAAATAATGACATACCACTCCCGCAACAATCCTCCGGCGTCTTGTCCTTCCTCGCCTTTTAGAATTCAAAAATAGATCTTGCTCAGTATCGATACTATGAAGCTCGTTCAAGTTTTATCAAGATAACTATTAGCCATTTGTACCTTCGAAGACTATGTAGAAGCGATTTTTCCATTCGTCCGCGTTCCTTCGATGAAGCTCCCTAAATGAATCTTCGAAAACGTGACTCCTACGAACGTGGACAGCCAACTCTTCCCTACGTATACCCTCGTCCATTCGTTCTAATTCCGTTCTGAAGTAACGTCTCTTCACATCGAAGTCTAACACTCTCGTGTGGTCCACCAGTACAGAAAACGGTCCGTCTGCCAAGTGCGTAGTCGTTTGTCGTAGAATTTGATTCAGCACAGTTCTGTGCGTTTCTACGGGAATAAGATAAGTATAACGTTAAATTGATAATAGCAATTAAGACTTTTACTCGTCATTAGTTAATATGTACCGGCAAATTTGAGGAACTTTAACTGATCTGGTGGCAATGTTCTCTGCGGGGGCGGTGTGATATCCCAGGAAGCATTAGTAGGAGCTTCCGACTGAGAGGTACCTTCGTTGTCCGAATATATCGGAGAGACTGGTGCTAAGTCTGGTACCACTTCTCGATTCTCGATGGTCGCGTTAATACGACTGTCCCGATCTCGATCTCGAGACGTACTTGAGGACGAGTGCACCAAGAAGAATGCTTCTACCGCAGGCTGCAACATGTTAGATGTACATGTATACATTTTGCAAATGATGAGTAACGGTACAATAATTCGGTAGTAACATTCTTCTACGATAATGAAAATTTAAATTCTTTACCTGTAAAACAAGGACGGCATGATGATCAGGAGTGTATTCTAATTCAAGTAAGCAGGCGCTAAGAGTTTCCCATAAATTATCTAACACTAAACTCTCACTCAGCAATGGAAGTGCGGTTTTCTCTTCCTCTGAAAAAGCAAAAAAATTTATATAAGACAAATATATCAGATATAAGTATTAAATGCAATAAATCACCAACATATGCTCGACTTACCATTGCGAGAAGAGGACGTCTTCGAATCAAGGCTCAAGGTATTTGCTTGCGTTGTATCCATAGGAACATCGGTGTCCGCATTATCGGCAGCTACAAAATACATTCATTTTCAATATAAGTGTTAATTGAGAACTTGGAAAAGAAAGTTAGAAGTATAAAAGTACCTGTCTCTGGTGCATTGCTTGTGGTGCCTGTATCCATGGCTGTCTCCGTTGTTTGATTAGCTTGAAGAAGTTTTCATTTATAAATATTGAAAATTTAACATAAATAACGAACCATTAAAAATTTATCGCAAGATACAGTTATAATAACGCATACATACTTGTTTTCTTGGTGTTTGCTAAGCGCACAGCTTCCCTTATTTGCACAATAACTTTAAGTATTCTCAAGAAGAATGCCTGACTAGAGGTTTTACTGACAAGAGCAGCCATCGATGGTAATTGAAGGTCACTTCCGGCTTTAACTTTACTCGGTGCTGTGACGACTACATTTTCATTAGTAAATCTAAAAAGAAAACTTTTCTTATAGCAAAGTATCAAGTTTCTCGAAAATGCAAAGCATATGAAAATTGATATTTGACATTCAATTGCACGTACTACAAGTATATCTTACCTATCTAATAAAATTCCTCGTCCATTTCCGCTACTGGTCGATGGTTGGTCCTCCAAAGAATTTCTTCGACTTAATTCACGATTTAGAACTTTCAATTCCATCATCAAATCGTTGATATGTTCACACACCATATTTGCCAATTCCATTGCACCTTCCAGGAGTAATTTTAATATCTAAAGAAAGACACAAGAAAGTGGAAGAAAAAGGATATAGATATTTTGTCATTAACACATTAACATTATTTACATTAATCTGTACACGTACCAATTGTCTAGTGGGGTCAGGGCAATGAGATAAGTTAAGTAATAGCGCAGTTGCATCCTCAAGTCCATCCTCGGAACAACTCTTACTGGTTAAAACCTGCACGGCCAACTTGAGGTGTCCCTCTGGCGCGGCGACACTTTGATCCTTATTGAGTTCAGTCTTCTTGTTCTTCGCACCGCCTTCTTGTCGCCGATAGGGATTCACTTCTGTCAAACCGATGGATATCAAAGACAGAAGTCGCAGCAATTTATCCGTCAGTTGACTGCTTCGCTTGATCACAGACCAATTGAGCATCGAGATAAGTTGACCGAATGCGGAAGCTTCAAATGTCGTTATGCCGTGTTCCGGCTCACTCCCCAAATTCGTATTCGAATGAGTCCTCGCGACCGATTTTCCTTTTTTAGACGCGCACGAATCCAATTTTAGAAGCAAATCCCAGAAGTCTGGGAGATCGCTCCTTCCTACTTTGGACACAGACTTGTTTTTCGCTCCACCCTCCTCTTTGCTGCCACTCACATCCTTCTCCTTACCACTATCTTTATCATCCAAATCCTTAGATTTGATTGGCACAAAATATCCAGGGAAACTCTTAGCCAGTGATATCAACAGTTCTAAAGTATGCCTGTAATTCAATAAAGCAGAATCCAAAATGTTTCATTAAAAATCTAAAGGTGATATAGATTTTTATAATAACTTTTTTTTACTTAAATCTTTAAAATATCTTAATACACTGACCTGCAGACGGTAGGTGCTGCCTGCGGATGAATTGCGATAATATTACCTTGTCTTTCAGATTTCTTACCAGCATGGCGTATTATGTGGAATACATTTGCTCTACAGCCGAGTGCAGCATCGATACTAATATTTAGCCACGATTGTGTGTTATTTCTTTGGTCAAAAATCTTTGGAGAACTGTAATAAATTATCAAGCATTATTATTATGTTATGATAAATACATCGCGTTCCGTTTAGAATTCCCAAGTGGCAAAAATTGTACCATAGATCCATGGGAGTATTTAATAATCCTTTTCTCTTGAATTTTCCACCAAAATCTGCCATGATATCCTTATTCTCATCGTTACTCCTTTCCATGATGCTCAGCAATGCTTTCACTATCCACTCCCTTGTGCTGCCGTGATAGCAAAGATTTCTGATAACTCTGTGAAGCCTAAGCGTGTTAATTTTTGGCTCGTCGACAAATAACAACACCAGCAGGCACGCCATCGATTCATGATCAAGTAATTGCCGGCCTCTTAATCGTAAGCCAGCGCCTTGGTGAGCCATATTTGTATCGCCGCGTGCATTCCAGGCATTCCATTGAGATCTTTGAGGTACTGCGTGAATAGCATATCGTGTGCCGCCTCCGCGAGCTGTAAATGTATTGCAATTTTTGTATAAAAATAACTCTACTTACACAAATTATTAATGATATTTGCGTGTGCGTAATCTAATATTAATTATAACAGAAACTTACCTCTTCCAGAATTTCTTAATATGCTCGAGAGAGCGGTATTGCTTTGACTAACATGATTGAGAAATCTTTCCTGCATCATGTGTCGATTACGTGCTTCCCATTCCCTCCTCAAATTTTGAGCTTCTTGAGCTAACTCCGGGGGAAGGACGGATATTTGGGACTCTTCCATGTCAGTTAGAATCTACAGAGATAATTGTCAGTAAGTAACCACTGTCGAAGAAAACAGTATAAATCCGTTCGAGAATATAACTATAAAATCTACTAACAGCCTGCCGAAGTGAAGGTTGCAGATTTTGGAAGAAGGCGGCAGCATCGACGGGATCCTCCGGATTTGCCGAGGCGGCCGCGTGTCGTTGCTGCTCCATACGTTGTTGCGCCAAGACCTCCTCCTGTATGGCCGGGGGCAAAGCAGCCAGGAACTCGGGATTTACTTCAACCGGCCCGCTTAGTTCCTCGACCGCAGAAGTCTGTGCGCGTTGCCTCATACGTTGCAATCTATCAACATATTATTTAATGATTGTTTACATATTGTTGTATGATCGTGATATATAAACGTCGAAGCAAGACCATTAATTTACCTGAGCTGCTCGGCAATAACTTCGTCGCGCATATCTTCAGGCAGAGCAGCCAGGAACGACGGGTCTACACCGTCCGGCAATTGTTGTTCCTGATTGCTGGATTGCTGTTGTGGCTGCTGTTGCGACGGTTGCTGCAACGACTGTTCTGAGGTACCTGCCGCGGTGGAAGTCTCGGTCGTAATTGAAGACGTCGAATCTTGATTAACGATGTTAGCGCTGCAATAACATTTATGTTAATTCTGCTGTAATCTACACTCACGTGCGTGCACGATACTCACTTTCGTTCAACACGCCGTAAGTCAATGTCACTAGTTCGACACTGGCTATCGTCAGTCAAGAGTCTACGGATCCAATCGGCCGAATCACTGCTTTCCCTCGACAGATCCTCGCTAGTTTCTTGACCAAAATCTACTACCAATGGTGTAGCCGAAGTACGGTTAGACGATGACTCAGTGACATTCGACGTCTCTGAGTTACTTCGTCCAGGCTGTCCTGCTGGGGCAAGATGTGTAGGCGCGTCATTAGACACATGTAGGTCTAATGACGAGAGAATATTAGTATACAGAATCTGAATAACTTGGTGGATAATAATAATAATTAATTGGTTTGAGCAAAAGATTCAGATTTCTAAAGTAGTCGCTTACGACATAGAACGATTAACACAAAAATACAATAAGAGATGTCTTTATATACTTTAAATGAAAGATCTCAATTAAGAAAACAATAGATATATTACTTAGTCTAATCGTTGCTTCTGAAGTGCACGGTCCAAGTACAGAATCGACGATACTTTCAGCCAGCTCTAATGTGGGATTTCGATTTGCCGTACGTGGATCACGACTGTCGGACGTTGACTGCTCCTCCGGCGGTGGTGGAGGTGGTCGCTCCTCGTCCTCTTGAACCGTCACTTCCATTTCACCTGTTACATCTGGTATGTAAAAAACACATAGAAACACGCGTATAGAATATTCATTAAAAATAAATATAAAAAATTATCTCGCGTTGCAGCTGTACCGATTATGTCCTCCTCCGGAGTACGCTCCTGTCTTGTAGTTTCTACCGCAGTTTCTTCTCCGGCTACAAGCGGCGTCACGTCAGTTCTTTGAGAGGTTGATGCAGATGGTCGCTGTTCGTCAAGTGTCAAACTTGGTAATGCAGCTAAAATATTAAATGCACAGTTTAAAGAGAATCGATGAGAATCGTATTAGCGCGTTTAAATTTTGTTTTGATATATGTGTCGTGAGTTTTTGTGTAGAAGGGAAAATATTCGGGCGTATTTATATACATATATTTACATTCTGTATTATTTGAACGTTCTTTCTCTTCTTTACTATCCTTTTCGTTTTCTTTCTCGGATCCATGTTGTTTTTTACGTTTCTCCTTACGCTCGGCGAGCTCAGCATTCCTATGCTTTTCCAGCCCAGGTATCAACTTGTGAACAACACCTTTCCAACACGAAAAATTAATAAAATTGTACCATGTATAAGACATAAAATTAACAAATTCCTTCGTTCTTACCAACGCAACAATCAGGTTGAGAATCTCCGTCTAATTGTTTGCTCTCTTCGATCCACCAGTGTAATGCAGTTGGTATGTTATTCAAGGTTGCGGCAAGGCTCGGACCAAAGAGATACCCAGATTGATCCTAACGACATTAAAAATTTAAGAATTACAATCTTTTTTATACATCCGTTTATGTCTTTATTTATACTGCTCTTTCATATTACACAGTGTACGTACGACATAATCGATCTGTTCTTCCTCTTGATTAGTGAATATTCCCAATCCATTATCCATTACGACCACCCGGGTATCCCTAAAACTCGATGCCAAAACTTGACTAGCAGATAAAGGGAGTGTCTGCGCTGCCGGACCTAAAAGTCTGCATCACATATGTTAAATAATTAGACCGTTTATTTTAATAGTCACGAAACACAATATGTTTTACTAACATATACCTTTGTAATATTACAGGTGGATTTGAACTACGTGGATTGGATAGCTGGAGATACTGATACCGCCTGTGTCGTAGAGCACGTTGCGTTCTAGTACTCGCAGTGTCCAAACTTCCTTGCGATATTAACAGTGGGTGAGTACTGATGCCTGTATCAGAATTATCGCAATTATACTCTTACAATCACGCAAGAAATTAGTTGAAAGATAAAAGAAAAAAAGGAGAGAAAAAAACACAGTCGAACGTTCATATCGACACCCCTGTTCTCGACCAGCTCAAGCCTTCGTAAACTAAGATTACGGACACTTACACGGACATTAACACGTTCATTCTACGTTAGGAAATCCATGCAGTAGAAATGAAAATTGAAGGGGAAACTGAAGTCGAGAATAGAGAGGTTGCTCGGTCCCGATTAGTCAAGAATAGGGGAATTTCCGACTGTAATTATCTATTTTCGCTCCTATTTACCGTTGTTCTCAGAACCTGCAGGGGGCTCTTCAAACAGACCTAATGGTAACGGGAATGTGGTATTCCATGGAAGACTAGGTCGCGTATTAACTGGCGTCGATGTATTCGCGATGTCCTGATTTTCAATGTTGTGTTGTATCATTACAACATTACCACCGTCGCGCTCGGAAGAGGGAAACATACGAAAAACGCCGCCCTCCCCAGAGTCCTCGTAAAATTCTATTCCATCCTCTTCATAATTAGACGAGCCTTCTTCCTCTTCTTCCTCCTCTTCCTCATTTTCTTCACCTATAATAATGTAAATGAGAATAAGAGATACGATCTTTCTACTTCGGTTGCTATTATCATGTATCAAGTCGGATTATCTACCATCATCTTCCTCTTCCTCCTCTTCGTCCTCATCGTCCTGTACCTCGTCCTCATTATCGTCGGACGGATTGCTATCGGAGTCCGAGTCGGAGCTCATTAAGTCCTCCTAAAATAAAATTCATTGTAAACTCAGAAAATAAAACGGAAAGTATACTAATTACACGAGAGAAAATGAAAAAGTGACGTTACTCTTACTGTGGTATCTCGAGTCGGATCAAAATCGCCCTCCGCGTCGCGCATTGCGAGGCTCTCATCGTCAATGTCCATTGGCCTATGCGGGCGAGAAGATTGTTCTTCCGCCACGGCCGAGCCGTCCCTGGAAAACAGTACACTACTTGATTATAAGTACTGTAGCTTTCACGAGCTTGAAGGGCTCATTAAACAGATAAAAAAAAAGATTCGCGAACGTGTGCAACACAGAAGACAAAAACACACATAAGCAGCCAGGAAAGGAAATACATATCATGCTTAAATTAAAAAGAAAATCTATATCTGTATGTGTGTTCGACTGACAAATTGTACGATTGAATCTTGTACATGTGTGTTACAAAATGAAATCGCATAAAATACAATCCGTGCAAAGAGAGTACTCTGCTGATATCTGTTAAATGAAAGACACTGTCACTATGCGATATCTGTACCACATATGGGCATATCACTTGAAATTTTTTTATTCATACATTTATATTTAGTAAGATATTTTTTTTTCTGCCATGTTGATGTCATTGCTGCGTAGATACATCTTAATCAAACACAAAGAGAGTGAATTTACTTGATTTGAATTGCATGACGTTCATCGAAATCTGATTAATCGTTAATTTGCCTCTTGTTACCTCTCGAGTAGCTGATCCATAATATCCTCCAGTGCAGCCTCATCCCCTTCCTCGTGTACCTGGCTCTCCGAAGTCGGTTCCAAGCTTTCCGCAGTCACAGAGATATCGTGCTCAGTGTTCTCGGCGTCCTCGTTCGCTTCCTCGCCCACGGCGTGCGTAGCCTCGGAGGTCGTGGTGCCAGTCTGTTCTCCAATCGGCTCTTCCTGGACCGTCCTGTTTTTCGGCTTCGTAAATTTGTTATTGACCGCACCCGGCATTGGTTGATTGATAATGCGCGACAAGGTCTCGAGTGGTTTCAACGCGGCGTTAATAGTGCCGGCCATATTCGGACTCGACAGATCGAGACTGTGCGGTATTTTGGCTAGATCGGTGATTATGCCCTTTCTCAGCATTATTCTAACGATGTAATTGACATTGTTGTACTGGTGGGCCCTCAAAGAAGCTCTCAGCTGCGTATGCGACATATTCGGCGGACAACTGTCGATCATCGTAGAGATCAGTCCGATTAGCAACTGAAGCTGAGCGTGCTTCTCGGAACTCTCCGGAAGGGCGAGCGTCCTCGTCAAGGCTGCCTTCACTTCAGTCACCAAAGTTGTCTGCACATCCGGCGAGTGATTGCACGAGGCTATAGCTGCGATCAACATTCTTGCCATGCTGCTGCACGTTCGATCGCCCGAATTTTCCGGCGACATCGGCAAAAGTTTATCTAGTAAGAACGCTAAAGCCGTCGTGTCTTCAGATACCATCTCACTTTGCCCAGCTCGGTACGTATGTTCGGTGATAAGACTAGCTACGGCGCCGTAAGATCTCACAGCCTCCGCCAGTATCTTCAATATCGCAGACTTAGTCAAGATGGGCTTCTTTGCCTCCTCCGGCTCTACCTTGCTGTTGTTACCGATGTCGGTATAAATTTTTAGAGGGATAATTTGCGACACTTGATCATCGTCGTCCAAGGGATCGTTGGTGGTCGTTGCGTTATTCCTCAGCACATCTCGCCGTGACGACGTCGACGAGGACGTATTACCTATCGATGAGGTCGCCGCGTGTGACGTCTTCTTTTCGGGGCTCGTTGGGGTTGTCGACCCGTCATCCGACGACACAGGCATCGGTTTAATTAACGCGTTCAACATATCACGAATAACACCTACGGATACCTCTTCCACCATCGGTAATGCTGGAGAGTGACTAGGAGGTAAGGCTTTAACGACTAGCCTATTGTCAACATCATCTTCTGCAAAACGACAAAGATACGATTAGGAAACAAAGTCGCCAAAAATATTGCTACTTCATATCAATGGCTGCAGAGTCCACGCAGAGACCAAGACCAAATTAATTAAAACTCACTTTTCAAACAACTTATGTCAACTCTAAGGATATTCTCGCACACTTCTTTGTATACTTCCGGATTGCGGCAAACGGCGCTGCTAATTTGCCGCGTCATGAAAAGAATCTCTTTGTATGCAGGAGGTATGTTGCTCTGTGTGCGCGCACGAATCACCTGAAACAGAGGCAGACGAATAATACATTGTTACATGGATGGATTAGTACACGCGAAACTGTATCGAAAGGACAAACGTAGATACCTTCTCCATCGCGAGGCGAAGCGTGCGCGGCTCTTCAAGAGTATGTCGTATCAGTAACGTGCAGAGGTTGATGCAGCCGGTGAAACTGCACATCTGTGTCATTTCGAGGAGTAACTTAACGCCTCCCTCACGCGCGAACACCTCGGCATTCCGATAATCTCTTGTCAGACGTAGACATACTTTTAACACTGCATGTAACGCGTCCCGATCGACTGGGATCGCCAAAAACTTTACACACGCACTGTAACATAAACGAACAGATATTTATTACTTCACTCAGTTTTATGTACCAAGTATTTCGTATAATAACGCATGGTCACAAAAAGAAACATTGCAGAAAATGATAAACCCAGAGGAGCGTTAATGTCAATTAATCATACAGCATCCTAGAAACTAGTATTACGTGTACATTTAAAATGTATTATTCAAGTTAAATATCTGTACGATCGTTAATGTAGATCTCTTATCTCTCACCGTACAATACTCGGTGCTATACTAGGATCCAATCCCTGTACCACAGTATTTCGTCTCTCCTCTCCTACCGGGCTCTCGTCAGTGTCCATATTCGAATCCGAACCAGAGCCACCGTCCTCTTTGTCCGTGTTCAGCTTGAATCCCATCGTGATGGGTCTTCTGTTATCACTGTCTTCATTCACTTGAGTCATGCAAGAGAAGGTGATGAGATATCGACGCCGACTGCATGATATCCGTACACTGGACTCGCCTGCCCAGTACGCGTCGTTGATAATTCGATTGTTCATTGGCGAATAGAGGGTCCACTTGCCAGTGCTCAGGTCAAACCATTTCCACGCTCTGGTTGTAATCTTGTGCATTATCTGCTTCCGCTGCGTAAGAGTGGCCACCTTTTCTAAACGATCGATGAGTAATAAGAGAGGCGCCAGCCACTTAGGTGTCTTCATGCTCAACACGGCGCTGGTATCCTTGCAGTCTTTAGCGATTCTGTTCTTGTTCGCGGTAAGCGGCGCCTCGCTCACCACCAGCAGACGCACAAGCTTATCCAGTATCGCGCATTCCTCTACTATTAAAGCGCATGGCACTCTCATCTCCTGGAAGGAACCTTCGAAGAAGAGGGTGTACAGATAAAGGCGACCGGACAGCTTGTTCGCCTCCTCGCACTCCACCAGCCTGGCGCCGGCATTCTCGTCCTGGCTCTCGGCGATGTCGATCAGATAGTCCACCAGACGACCGACCTCGCGTATCAACTGCCGTAACGTATCGTCCCGCCACTCGTCGCCGTTTCTCTTCGTGATCGTTACCAACAGATCGCAAATCCTGTACACCGTGTCCGGCATGAGGTCCAATAGATTGAGACACTGGCCAAGCGCGCTGCGCGTGAACTCGTCTATGCTCTCGGTGATGGTAGTCTCGCGCGCGGGCGCCTCCTCGATGCCCGAGATCTTGCGCGTGTCCGTGTCGCCGAGCGACATCGCGATAGCGTGCATTATCTGATCGTCGTCCGCCAGTTCTAAATCCATGATCAAGCCCTGGCCGCTGGCGTCGCTCACTGGAGCATCAGGTCTACGCAGAGTCGCAGGATTTGTCAGGAGGTAATCGGTCGCCTGTTCCACGGTCATCGTGTGCAACAACGCTTCTATGCAGTGCGCGCGACTGAAGCCCATGTCCATCAGTTGTCTCAGATATTCCGGATTCACGTCCGCCTCTGGCTCGTCTCTACGTTCGGTTCCGCTGCTTCTGCTGACGCCACTCGCGCCGCTACCGCTAGCTATCGCGTTGTCTCCTCCGTTCTCCTCCTTTTCGGTGCGCTCCTTGATAATCTTCTCGCCGCGTAGAATGTGTCGTAAGATCGATAGAATAGACTCCGTCATGCGAGCTCCGTAGTTTTTCAACGGCTTTTTGCCCCACATCAGCATCACCGCCTCGAAGGCTTTTTTATGAATGTCAATGAGGTATCTGATAGGATCGAACGTTTCGCACACTTTGTAGATTCCCGTGCACTTTGACGAGACCACGTGGGGCGAGTCCAAAATGGCCTTAGGATTGACCATTTTCTCCAGCAGCATCAGCCAGGCGTCCAGAAACTCGCCAGTTCCGTCAGGTAGATTAGGATGTTCCAGTCCCTCGGATAATGTAAACTGGCCTCCGCCCGACAATGCCCAGTGAAAGGTAGAGAAAAATGCATTCTGACCGTTTAGCTTAACAAATTTCTGAAGCATCAGGTGATAGGGATGTCTCTTCTCGTCGAAGAGCATCGGTGAGGTGAATCCCACTGAGCATATGAGGAAGGTGAGCTTGAACTTGGGAATCGGTGACGGGGGTAATTTATCCCACGATAAGCCGCGCGTCAGCAAGCAGTTCAACGCGGTAGCAACGCTTCGCGCCGCCTGAGAGGGCAACGTGGGCGTCAATGGCATCTGCTGTCCTCTACGTTGTCTCACAGGAGAACCCATACAAAGCTTGACAAGCAGACCGAATAACTCTGAGAGTGCTCTACCGAGTCTTGAAGAAGCGCCAAGTAATGGTTTAATGTACTTCAGTTGATAGTTATTCGGCCTGTCGGTGCTTACGTTCGGTTTATCGTCGACCTCCATTGGCACTGGCGGCGGATCTGTGCTAAGAGCTTCCATGGCCGTGGTCATCCCGTTACTTCCCATATCCGAAGATGCAGTAGCGGACCAGGAGGAGGACGAAGGCTCGCCCTCGGTTTTTAACTCGGGTGGCATCAACTTGTTCATGTCCTCTTTACCAAATTCGCATCCGGCCGGGATAATATCCTCGCTACACAACGCAAGTAGCAATGTACTTTCCCAAACGAGAGACATATAAAGCTCCGATAAACCTTTGAGAACGGTCAAGCCCAACTCGGAACCCCAGTGATTCATAGAAAGATTTCGGATATCACTTTGACTCGTACGGCAAACGTGAACGAACATCACAACGTATCCGTGAGCTGCATTCATAGCGTGCAATAAAGGCGTAGCAGTATCACTTGTAAATGCAGTCTCCAAATTTGGCGCTGACGCAAGTTCATGTAGTAAAACCGAGCCGCCGGGGGATTCCATATTGCTGTGAAGTGGCTTCAACAAATTTAGCACTTCATTTAATTGCGACAAACCTGTCTTGAGTACCAATGGTTCGTTTGCGAGGTTCTGTAAACGCCAGATTACATTTACGTTAATACAATTACATTAAGAACGTGTATCGTTAAGAAAAATAATTGTACGAAAATCAAACGTACCAAAATACTTTTGCACACCGAGGCTACAGATTGGGCCGCTTGTGCGACAGGATAATCAACAGGTAAATTAGGTAAACCCAAAATCGATAGTAGTGGAACGAGTCCTTTCTGAGCAACAAATTCTCTGCAGTGATCGTCAGTTGAATTGTTGCTCAGTATGGCATCCACAAATTTCATAACGTTGTGAATATATTCCACTAAAGCAATGGGAGTCTTCTCTCTTGGTTGAGGAGGTGGTCCAGGCTGCGGTGGCGACATACTAGGTTGTTCCTCTCGTTGAGGATGCGAACTCGTGCTCGCTTCCTCCTCATCCTCTTCCTCCTCATCGCTACTGCTACCACCACCTCCTCCACCGCCACCACCGGAGTCTCCTACTCCGACGCCGACTGATTGACCAGATGTTTGACGATGTCCAGAGGCCGTGTTTGATGGCGAATTTTCGGATTTACTGGCGGCACGCCAACATATGTATCGCGGATCACAGCCCAATACGCACAATTCTTCGAGTAACTAGCAAGTGAAAAAGAAAAATAAGTATTTGAAAAATACATGTGTACAAATAATTAGTTATTAGAAAGTACAGTTTGCAAATAACACCTTAATTATAGCCGCAATAGCGTCGACTTTTAAGCTTGGTTGGTGCCTCATCAGCTCATCCATGGCATTGCCTAGGTTCGAGGCTGTATCGCCTAACGGATCGGCGCTTCGTCGTCGTCGCATTGCCGAAAGATAAACGGGCGAGAGAAGTACTTTAAACAAGCGTTCGAATGGCCGCCGCTTCACAAAAGATTCAAGACCACGTTGATTTAAACAGAGTGCACTGAACACATTAGGTAAAGAGCCCAATACTTCTCTAGTGGCAGGAACCTAATATAACAATTGACAAAAGTGTTCTTAATATCATACAATGAAAACATACTCTTCTACCTATAAAACACCAATTCTTCACACTCACTTCTTTTATGAGTAAAGCGTGGAGTACAACATCAGTCAAGCCGTTATCTTGTAGGGATGATAGCAATGATGGTTCTTGGAAAACATACACAGTCACGACATCGGTAGCAAGTAAAAACAACGAAGGACCGTAATACTCTGAATTGCTTATAATGTGCTTCAGAGAAGATGGTAGGGTACCCTCCATAACGTGTCGAATGCTGTCGGAAAATGCCGGATCCTGAATTGCTTTCTTAAGAAAGTTCAACATCGACTTCAGGAGCGCTGCTCGTTGTGGTAAGCATGTTTTGCCGGTCTTAGCGGCAGAGTAGTCTGGCTGCTGTTCGCTCTTCTCGTCCGCTTTAGCAACCGTATTTTCGTCTTCCGATATCTCCATAGGATTAGACGACTCCTCTCGTTCATCGAATGTCTCGTGTTCGCGGCGCGACGTGGAAGATGCCTCCTCCCTTTCTGCCGATCTTTCACGCGAGGTTTGCGGAGCATCTTGATAGAGCAATGGCTCAATTTCAAACGGCTGTTCTTTCCTACACACGTTAACTTCCATATCTAAACGATTGATGAAGCTCGCTAAGCCACTGTGAGTTTGAAAACCTTGCATGTCTATGTTTGTTATTAAATCTATCACGCGCACTGCTCTTGTTACAAACTGCAAAAGAAAAGAGATGAAATTAACAAATAAAGATAAAACCCATTGAATCGCAACTTCTTTTACTCATTAATACTGAATTGTAAGAAAATGTACGGTGTTAAATAGTACCGTTATATGTTCCAGTTCACTTCCTGGCCAATTGATGACTTTCAAAAGGCTCTCCATCATGCCGCAGCTTACGAGAGCCTCTCCACCCGCTTCGTAACTTGCAAGATGATATAAAAAACTAAACAAGGCTGTCGCAAGCGGAAGAGGAAATGGCTGCCCATCAGGTTGTGGCGAGGTTAACGTTGTTATACAAGTACGAACCAAAACGGGCAAAAAGCCGTGATACGAGCTAGCGCCAGTGACGTCAATAATCATATTCAATCGCGAACCAGGTTTTCTAAAATCACACGGGTAAAGATTAGCATATCCTATCAGCTGTCGTAAAACTGTACGAGATAAAGAAATAATTTACACTCACTTAGGGAAGTGTGGATTCCGATCCAAGTGTATAATGCTCGTAAGAGTCCGCAACGCTGCCGCACGAATCTCGACGAGATGAGTATGTGGCAATTCCAACAATTCAACCAGTTCTTCGAGAAGTCCGGCGTGGAGAAGACTATGCGCATTTTCTTGCAGCGCGTTGCTGTACACAAGCACGGATAGTGCTTGCAACCGTGCCTGTACGCACTGCAATCGTCTTCGATAATCCGAAAAACTATGCGCTAGTCTTATGTGTGTCAATAGAGCCATCTAAGAACAAGTTCCAAGCGCGTTAAAGAATATCCTTCACACAGCAAGGAGACCAATTAAAGTCTAAACATCCTTACCTGTCGTTCCTGAGGTACGTTATAAACTTTCAACAAATCATTCATGATCTGTGCTGGGGTTTTTCCGAGTTTATCAACATTTTCTATATGTATATATGTTACAAGATTCATTTGACCAACTTTCTTTGTACTAGAGAGTGATGTACCAGTTGCCGATGGCTCCGCTACAGTCGGATTTTCCGCATAAAATTCGAAGTGTAACGTTGTGGCGCTCGCTGGAAATGGCTGTAAGTTAAACAATAATTCATTTATAAAACTGCGCTCCATTGTACATTGTTGTACAATAATTTTACACGCGTGCTTACTTTCTCTGGAAATTCCTTGCAGCAGTCTGCCAAACCAAAACCGTTCTCCTTTCCTCCCCAACTCTATAACGAGTTATTATTTCATAAATAGAATTAACTCATATTGCTATATATAATTTATATAAAATATAAATTAAAGTTACTAACCTCTGCTAGGTGAATAAGCCTGCTGAGCAAAGCCTGCCGTTTGTCACTATTTAGACGTGTAATAAAATTACTGCGTTTACTAAACATGTACAGAAGATTTAATACACCGAGGACTACATTCATGTTACAACTTGATAGTAAAGTAACCAAGTGTTCCATGCTGTTGTACAAATGCCGTGAGAATGAATGCTCAATTAACAACGTTGTGAAGTGGAGAACCCAGAGAAGCAGCTCTTTCGCCTGCGCATCAAGTTAATAATATACAAATTATTTTATTAATCGGCTTGTAACTTATAGATTACGTCAAGTAACATACGAAAGTGATCTCAATCGATTGGCGCCAATAGAGGCAAATCGCTAAAACAGACCTCTCGATTTTGAGGAAGATCACATGCTAATTCCCATGGATTATCAGGACTCCTTGCTGCAGCTTCTTCTAAAATACTGTCACTGAGATCTAAGACATCGATCCAATGAAACAATTCGCACTTTCCGAACGTCCACGCGTCTATCTGCTTCAGTTCTTCCAGCAGCTCCGCATGCGAGCAAGAGCGCAGTTTGCTTATGAGTGCCTGACATTCTGCCGGCTAAACACACAGGTCAAATGATTAGTCTTAATACAATAAGCTAAACAAAGAGTACGCGCGTGTACGTATATATACTGCAAACTTTTACATTCCAAGAAACAATGTACAGGTAATCGAGATTAGTCTACAAAATCATGTCGAAGCTTATATTGTTCACAAAGTTCCACTTCAACGTACTTGTACGCACAATAATTAATATAAATGTTTTATATATACGTATACAGAAAAAGTATAAAATTGCACAGTCTATCGGAAAGAAATTCACTGGCGCTTGCGTTAACGCGTGAATCTAAATTGAACCGTTTAAAAGGTTCACCGAAATAAACACCGTGTATAATACTTACCACTTCGGAAGTGCACTTTTTCAATCTACTGCGATCGATTTTCATTTTGGTGTATTAACGAATCCTTCCCAAATTTAATATCTATAAAATAAAAGCACAAACAACCGCGTTATAAATTTCATAATATCTCAAGTGAGTGATGAATATACATATATATATAAGTAAAATATCGCGAGTTCTCGACGTGATAAAATAATCCTTGCGTCACTGATGGCGTCTGATAGCACAGGAAAGTACAAAAGCTTCCCTTTTCTTTGTTATTACAAGAACGCTTGTGTGAAAGCACAATTAGTCATACTATCCTAATAAGATTGCCACGTTCCACAGATATCATATCAAAGTGGCATAATGCCAGGAGATATAAAAACTCTACGTAACAAAACGCTACAGCTCCAATTCGTCTACACGGGCGTTGTAAAATCTTCCCAAATGCATCCGTTCACCAGCTGTAACGTGTCAATGAACGATCCAACGGTATTCCAGAAATTTCTAGAAGGCCCAAGATTCTTCCTCCGCACGAGAGAATTACAAAAAATTACATAATCGGAGACACGTCGCTAAGGGCGCACGTACATTTTCATTAACACGTGACTTTTGCGAGAACGCACGGATCCCAAGAATGGACAGATCAACTGATCTCTGCGACTCATGCATGGATCAGGCGACAAAAGAATCACACGTAAAGGGACTACAATTAAGACAAGTATAAAGTTCGATGTATATATGTGCGTGTATAAAGAAAAGCCTAATGTGCTCGTGGCATTCTCTGAACCATGTGCGCAGCTAAGAGAGTTCGGACTTGGTTCTTCCGAAAGATCCTGGAATTACTCCTAAGACGCTCCTTCCACTTCCGTGATCCCAAAGCCTGATCTACACTGTGCTCCCCGCATCTAGAAAGATTTTATTTTATACAAACAAGTCAAAACGATTAAAACATTTGTCGACGGCGTACGATTGTACGGTGTACATTTATCGACTTCTGCAAGTTTTTTAAACGTACAGACGTAGAAAATAGAATGTTGCCAGGCGCAAAGAGCACATTGCGGTCTAAGCGTAAACGTTTACGTGGCTTCACGATGATGCGCGTACGTTCTATGACGAATTAGAAGAACACGTGCGAACGTGCGCGAGCTCAGTTGGAGAAAGAGAGCAAATCGCACTACGGCGAATAGGCTGTCTCGTGTATCCTCGCGATTTCAACGAATCGACACGCGATCGCACAACAATGATCGAACGCGACGTTACGAAACGTATCGCAACATGGAAGCGACTCCTTTTTTTTCCCCTCTTCCTTCTTCGAACGCTCGGGGCTTATCTGGGTCGTCCTACCCTTTGTGTCACGCGTCGGTTCATCCCTCGGGCCCGCAGGACGCTCGGCTCCTCGCCCTGGATCGGCCGCGGGCGGCGCGAGGAGGCGGGATCGCGTGGAGTTCTCGTGCGCGCGAACGATCACACTTTAATCTGCACAGTCATCAGCGGCACGGGGGAGAATCTAACCTATTCCGCGCGGCGCAGGGACACACAATGGTCGAGGGCCCCCGCGAGAACGAACAACACAGAGCACACACCGGGATCGAGTGACAACACCCTGGCGGCGATCGGTCACACTGCCAGCGCGCACGGGAGACCCGTGCGCCCTCGTAAATAAACGTTTGAAGGTGAAAAGAGGCGTGCGATGCGCACGGTTTTCGAATCGCGGCGACGGTTAGACGCGCGACGGGGAAGAGTCCCTTTGCCGTCGGGGACTCGCCGAGGGAGAGGAACAACGAGAGGGAAAGGGGGGGAAAAAAAGGGAAGAAGAAGAAAAGACCCGAGAGAGCGAGAGGGAGACGCGCTCGCGGAGAAAGGGGGGAAAGGAGAGTGAGAGAGCGACGTAACCCCTTCTCTCCCCCCTCTACCCACACTCTTTTTCTCTCTCTCTCTCTCTCTCACTCTCACCTGGCGATGAGCCGTCGTACTTCCGTGGCTCCGACCTCTCGCCGCGATAACGCGGCGCTGCCGCCACTGGTAGCCTCTTCCGTCGATGTGCTCGAGTTCCGTCCGATGCGCTTCTTCACGTCAGGAGCGTGGCGATGCGGCACGGGCATCGCGCTCGCGCTCCGAACCCGTGAACCCGAGATCACTTGTCGAGATCACTGCCGTTGTATGCTGCTGCTGCTACCGCGATCCTCGCCAACTCTTCCGTCATTAACACGCGCGGACCGCGACGGACCTCCTCTCGTGGTCGTCGTCACGTTGACGGTCGGCCGCGGCTCTCTACGCTTCGCGACGGAGACGGCGAGAACGCGGGCGGAACGTGACGGAACGAGAACGGGCGATAAGGAGGGGAAACGGTGGGAGACGGACGGAGCGCGATGGGGCCGGCGATCGGCGGGCGGGCGGGAGGGGAGGAGGAGGGAGGGAGGGGGAGAGTGGCGGAATGGAGGGCCGATAATTCTCGCCGTGTGCGCTCGCGGCACACGACGGTGTCAAAACAAAACCGCGGACGAGCGCGGCCGCGAAGGCGCTCGTCTCCCTCTCTCTTCCCTTTTATTAATTTTTTTCCTCCTCTGTTCTCTCTTCCTCCTCCTGCTGGTGCCGCTGCCGCCGCTCCTTTTCCTCCTATCGGCCGACGACGGTGCCGATCAGCGCCATTTTAGCGAGGCATCCCGCACGACGGCGTGTCGTCTCTCGTCTCCTTTAACCTTGGCGGAACAGACGGGATCCGCGCACGCTACACCAGAACCCCGGGCTCGACCGTCGTCGACGTTTTTCGAGCGCCGTTCGTCTCAGCCGCTCTCCGTCCCTCTCTCGCTCTCACTCACGCTCGCGCGAGCGAGTTGACGACCTCCTCGTCGCGGCACACGGTCACTCGTCTCGCTCGACGTCGTCGTCGTCGCGCGATAACTCGCGCTCTCGTCTCTTTCACGTATATACGTGTATTTATTGCGCACCGAGAGAGAGAACGCGCTAGCTCGGCTGCGTCCGCGTACACACGTATACACACACGCACGCGCGCACGCGCGCGCGCTCACCCGAACACAACCTCCTCTACGGGGGAAGACGTCTCGCCTCGCTCGCTCCGGCTCGAGAGGAGTCGCTCACGGCGAAACGCGGGCGATACGCGATACCGTCGACGCGCGAATCCCACGCACGTCCTCCGGTCCTTCCGCGCGCGCGAGATCCCTTTTTCTTCCCCCTTTTTATTCTCTCCCTGTCTCGCTCGCTCGCCTTTCCCCCTTGCACGATGCGGCGCACACAACAGGCCGATCCACACGTTGTCGTGTCACTCGCCTCGTCGAACGGGACGCACGCGATCGACGCGCGCGGTGCTTCCGCGCGACATCTCGCGAGCGCGTACTCGCGAGTCGCGATGCGAACGCGGCGTAATGCGGGGTCTACAATAGGCCTGTTCTTTATTACTGCACTACTGAACTAGTGCAATAAGTTAAAATGAAACAAATAGATTACCTCTCATTCCAACTCATTGCACCAGTGTGCACTAGTTCAGGGGTGCAGCAATAAAAAACAGACCCTATGTTTACACGGTACCCTAATCGGGTTTAATAACATCCGTAGTTAAGGGGCTGACCAATCGCAGTCATTCCATTCTTCTGAAGAATAGTTGTGATTGGTCAGTTTTATAACTACAGATGTTATTAAATCCGATTAAGGATGATGTGTAAACGTAGTCATTGAGTGCTGCTACACGGAACGCTTAATCGGGTTTAATAACATCTGTAGTTATAAAACTGGCCAATCACAACTACTTCTCAGAAGAATGGAATGACTGTGATTGGCCAGCCCCTTAACTACGGATGTTATTAAACCCGATTAAAGCCTCGTCTACATAGAAGCCGTAAAGTCGTAGTCGTAAGAATAGTCGACTGCGATTGGTCAATTCTTATGTATCTGACGAAATTGACCAATCGCAGTCAATTATTCTTACGACTACAACTTTACGACTTCTATGTAGACGAGGC